AAAAAAACTACAGTTAATAGACCCTTTTGCAGTTTGGCTATGGTAAATTAGAGCTACATATTGCAATTCCTAGAGCAAACACGAAAAGTAGCACAAAGCGAGGGAAAATAGTCGTTTCAACAAATGGGGCTGGAAAATCTGTGTCCATACAGAAAAACGAATCTCAATTCTTAGCTCACTCCATAAACCAGAAGCAGGTGAACTAAGGCCCAGGGACCTAATCTGGCCCCTGCCTGTTTTGATATGGTTTAGAAGCTAACAATGCTGTCTACACTTTTAAGTGGTTGAAAAAAAATAAAAAGAATAGTATCTTGTGACCTACAAAAATTATACGAAATTCAGATTTTGGAATCACACACACAGTTTTATTGGAACACAGCCACACTCATTAGTCTGTGTAGCACCTCTGTCTGCGTTGGAACCTCCAGGACAGGGTTTAGTAGCTGGGGCAGAAAACTGAGGATATTTACTATCTGACCATTGACAGAAAAAGTTTGCTGACTCTTGCTGTAACCAAAAATGAATATGAGATGGATTAACATTCTCATGGGCCTGAAACACTTCTGAACTATGAAGCTACTGAAAGAAAACAGCAAAATCTTTTCATAAGCTTGGAGTAAGCAAAGATTTTTTTGTAAGGATAAAAAACTGTTATATTCTTTGAAAATCTTTATCAAAATCTTAAAAATTCTTTTCATCCAAAGATATTAAGACTATCTATAGGTATCTGAGGAAGGGACAAAATTCCTAGAAATCAAGAATAAAGAGACAATTCAATTTTTAAAAAGAGCAAAATAATCGAACGTTAAAAAAAAAAAAAGATACATGAGCGGACAGTTCCCTCTTCATGGACCTGATGCGTTTATTTCCAGCTGCTAAGGATATTTTTTGGCTGTTAGAAATCCACTGTCAGGCCTCCCCCAGGAATCACCTTTGGTTAAAGAGAGGACTTGACCCAAGCGTCCACCGGCTTTCTAGGGCAGCTGCATCTAATGACTGGCTCGTCAACTCTTCCCTAGAACACTAATGGATGAGATATAGAATTTTAATTCCCTTGGAAGAATGCGTCATGCCTCCTTCACTACCACATGCAAAGGGTGAGCTTGAGACAGGTAAACATGAAATCAGCAGGCGACGTGCTGTGTCCTGGCAGGTCCAGACACCTCATGTAGACAGTACCCAGCCAGCTTGGGCAGTGTCAATAGAGCAACTGCACAACTGGCCGCTTGAGGGCGCTGTGGATCCACGGAGAGAGCGCTGAGGGCGCAGGGCGGGAGAGGGAGGGTTAAGGGAGAGCCTTGGCTTGGATGTGATGAGGGAGACTCTCTGATGAA